GATCTGAATGCTCAAGATTTCGGATTCTGGAAATATTTTCATCGGTTCTTAAAGATGGAGGCCTTCCGCTTCGTGGTTCATCTTCAATCGACCTTCTCCCTTCCGTCGAAACCACCTAAAAACCTGGCCTCTTGAACACTCTCCGTAGGTCTATTTAGCAAGAGATGCAGTTGCACTGTGCGCAAGTCTGAAGCAAAGCCTGATAGCACACCACTGACTGAATTTGATGTCACTCATTTTTAGAATACGATAGAAAAGCTGTTTCACAAAAAAAAAATCGCTACGGAAGACCAAATGACTCGAGCGAATTTAAGCTTGTACTGCCTTTCGAGTCTAGTGTTGCCGCCTCGTTGCCAGCCCCATCAGTTAATTTACAGACCTCGTATAACTGATGCGAACAATTCGGCTAGAATATTCTGTCTAGAAATGGTGGCACGTCTGGTTGTACAGGAAGTAGATACCTGCTATTTCAAACAGATCTTGGAAATCTGGTAAACTCCGTATACCCCAGAAAATTTGTGAAACAGTTAACCTTATTTTCAATGCTTAAGATGAAGAATTTATAAAAAAGGTTTCTAAAATCAATTTTCATTACCTTTTTCTGACCGTCCTGTACTATTTGTTATCCGAATTCAAAATAATGTCTACTAACGCCAGAAAGAAAGCATGTTTTTTAAATGAGTAGTACAGTCAAAATAAGTATGGGAAAAATATATAATTATATCAAAATACTCAGAAATGCATGCCATTTTTTTGAGTAAAACAAAATTTACGTTCTAAAAACTATATCGGCCATATGGCGCTCTTAAGCCGGAATGCAGGAATCAAGCCTCTCCCGAAATGAGCCCATTGCGTCGGCCAGCATCCGTGCAGGAATTTTTTACTTCTCTTCTTATTTCCCCCTTCAAATCGACGAGGATGCGAGTCTTGCTTTGGTAAACTTTTGATTTCAGGTAGCCCCATAAAGAAATCACACGTTGACAGGTCCGGGGAGCGAGGGGGCCATGGAATATCGCCGGAGAGGCTTGATTCCTGCATTTCGGCTCAAGGGCGCCATATGGCCGACATAGTTTTTAGAACGTCAATTTTTTTTGACTCAAAAAATGGCATGTATTTATGAGTATTTTGATTTAATAAAATATTTTTCCCATACTTATTTTGACTGCACTACTCATTTAAAAACATGCGTTCTTTCTGACGAACCCTGTATAAGAAACACACTACAATGCAATACGAGAAAAAAAAACCTTGTTTGATGTATATGCAATTATTCTAACAATGGAATTGAATAATATACATTTATTTAAAATAAGCCACAACCATTGTGTAAGTATTTTAGTCGAATTGCTTCCATCAGTTGTACTATAGAGCCAAAGTTTCATACTTGCTCTTTGTCAACCTTTTGAGTAATCGATCGATGAAGTTTTACGTGGGACCCCTTGTGTGTTATGAATAGAGATTTTTTCGCGAGATGCCGTAGTGAACCAGAGCGGGAACAGATGGAATTTCCCTATCCTCTCGAAGTTTTGACAGTTTCAAGTTACACCGGGAGTGGTCAGATGGCGCATGTTGCGCAAAATGTTCGCTTTAAGCTCCTTGATAAATTTAGCTCTCTCTTGTTTGAATCGGAAATAAAAAGACCGATCGTTTTTTGTGCAATATCAATAAAATCAATCATTTGGTATGACAAGTGCGGTTCATATATCTTCGATGACCTTCTCCCTCTTTTAATTGAGATGCCTGTTTTTTACATGACATTGACATAAGATCTGTCACCCGCTAGTACCTCACAGACGTTAGGTGGGTACCCCTACCACGTGATTTTTTGACATTTATCGGTTCCTGGTAGTGCACTGTGCTAGACCGTGGACTCGCGAAAAAATTCTTTATGTTTCATTCAGATAGATTTAAAGCCGACTCTGAGATAATACTTTTTCCTGATGTACTTAGACCACAACTCAAAACTAACCGATAAATATGCGGTTTTAATGAGATCACTTAATCAAAACTAGCTGATTATTATTTTACAGTGAGTAATTTTAACGAAATACTATTTTCCTGCCTGATTGTGTGAAATCGTATGTGCCTGAAATATATACAACTAATGAAGCGGGATACGCCCGATGACCTACTTTTGCAGTACATCAAACTAACCACTTCTCCTATTTCCATCTCTCGAACTGATATAAGATGGAATACTTGTCCAGAACAACTTTTTTGTTGCTCAAAGACGCAGACACAAACAACTTGCAGAACCAACTACGAGCTTGGTAAATAATACTTCAAAAGGATGCTTCGCGTGCTAATAAGGCAGATTTATTTAGGTGCCTTACGATACTAGAGATGGGTGGTACTCTAAGCGTATGTTCAAGATAAATTGTCGTAGATTGATGAACATGGATAGGAGAAAAGTTGAATAAGCTAAACATGAAGTGTGCATTTAGTCGTCGTCTTGCCACCACGGATTTATCTAAAACCACTGATTGAAAGAAAGAACGCCGAGACACGTCAAGAGATTTGTCAAGGGGGAGAACGTTTTAACTAAAAACTACTTCACCCCCTTTCACCCTTAGCCCATTTCCTAAATTTCAAATGACAAGGGGTACCGAGTAATATCTTGTTTGAAGAGTCTTTCGAAAACCTTCATTTTGACGTTTGATTTTTTAAATCGGTCGATCCGTTGTCGAGAAAATTAGAAAAATCTTTATTTATCTTAATTTGTTCAGATCGACAACAAAAACAAACGAAAATATCACTTTTTACAATTCGTTTATAATTTAAAAGGGAAACTACCAACATAAACAGTAATTCGGAAGATTATACGTGGCAACAACCAAACAACAACAAGAATTTTTTCCGCATTCTTATCATCAACACAGATATCCTGGGTGAACGGTAACGATTTTTATACCTGTTTAATTAATTGTTACTAAGGGAATGAAAGAAATTAATTGCTGTCAAGTTACCTTTGTGACAATCTTAGGATAGTGAAAATTAATTTATTGATTCAGCTTTGACTTCCAAAATGGTTTACCTACTAGCCGAAAGAGTGGAAGTGATTCTAATTTATGGTGCCCAATATCATTGTGCTCGGCAAACTGCCGCCACATCTAACGCCAGACATCCGGGGAAGATAACTTCGCATAGGTATGTTTTGAACCTTATTACTAAATTTACTCAAACTGGATCTGTTGCAAAAAGGTGTTCATCGAAGAGTTTTGGAGTCGTTTTGGATAAAAAATACCTCATTACGCAAATTTTGTTGCTGCGACTGGTATTTAATTAGGCTCTGTTCTCACAGTTACTAAACTTCATTTTCTTTCAATTTGATCCATTCAAGAATAAAATATTGCAACAGTTGAAAGAACATGATTTCGATATTCGAGTTGAGTTTTGTAAACAAATGACTGCAGCAATCAATGATAATACCATTCATGTATTGAATATCTGCTTCAGTGATGAATGCACATTTTATCTATGGATTTTTTAATAATCATAACTGCAATGAAATCCTCATGCTTTTGTAGATGGGCATACCCAGTACCCCCAAAAAATTAATGTATGGGCAGGCATTTTAGGAAACAAATTGATTGAGCCATTGGAAATTTGAATGGAGACATTTATTTGGATATGTTGGAAAATACCATCAATCCGATTATCACTGAAACTATTGAAAACCAAATCGAAGGCTGAAATATATTTCCGCCAAGATGGCGCTCCTGCTCGATATGTTCTTCCCGTTCGGCAATGGCTAGACGACGCGTTTTCAGCTAAATGGATAGGGCGAACAGGGACTATTTGATGCCATTCGACTTTTTTCTGTGGGGCCATTTGAAATCTATTGCGTTTACTCCCCAACTTGAAAGTTTGGATGAACTTCGTCAACGAATCATCGAAAGCTGCCATGATATCAGACAACATATTTTTGAAAATGTCCGTCAGGAATTTGAACATATATATCATTGTCTGGCCAATATCGGGCAACCTTTTAAACACTTATTGCAATAAAAAGTAATATTTTCGTGTGTTTTTGTTTTATATCTGAACAAATTGATTTAATTAAAAAATTTTCGAATTTCCTTGAAAACGAATCGACCGATTTAAAAAAATCAAACCATGGCCATGGCCAAAACAAAGGGTTTCGAAAGACATTTCTAACAAGCTGTTACTCGATACCCCTTGTCATTTAAAATTTCTAAGGGGATGACTCTGGGGGGCAGTGGGTGCTTATCAGATTTTTGATGGTAAATATGTGATCCTGAGGGATCATCATTTTTCTGAGCCCACAATGTGTTTCAGACAGGCGGCTCTATTTAATATTTTAGTTTCTTCTCTAGTGTATATTCTCTCTGTAGTTATTGCATGCTCTCATGTCTTCTTTTTTAAATTGGTAGAATGAGCCGTGTTGTGCTGTAGTCCACTGCTCTGGAATCCTCTGTTCCCTGTGTGCTTTTGTGAAGAGAGTACATTTTCGTCCATATTTTTCAACATTTTCGCTGTTATCGTAGGCTGGTTTTAGAGTCCCGCTGACCGGCCGCTGACCGTCAGCGCCGACAGGTGAAATATATGAAAGTCTAGGAAGCGTTTTAGAATAAGGCGTAGCTTATTTATCTTAGAATACCTACACTATCCGACGAACAAAGCATTTGAGAGTTAAAATATACATGAGTCTTGCCAGGACACCCTACCATTAGGACTCAAAAAATACTCAGCAAAATGTTCTCGCAGAGTGTTGCCAGGCCTGTTTATAGGTACAGTTGGTATTTCCATCATACCCTCAATTGTAAGTGTATCTTCAATACTATAACCATCGCGCACTCTTATAAAATTATGCAATATACAGCATGCTTTAACTATGTTCTTTGTAACATTAAAACCCACACTAATAGGTGTATGAAACACTCTGAACTTGTTTGACATTATACCAAATGTCGATTCTATATATCGTCTACTACGGCTCAGTCTATAGTTAAATATATTTTTCTTATGTTTCATGTTAGTTCGCGCATATGGCTTCATGATTTTGTTAGATATTCCAAAAGCACTATCACCTACAATGACATGCTCAACTGGAGTAGTTGTTCCAGGTAGAGGCTTCGGTCCTGGTATATTGAGAGTATTATTTTCTACGCTTCTGTATAGTGTTACTGTCTTGGAATATAGATAAATCAGAGTTTTTTCCATATGATCCAATGTTTACATATGTAAAACAATAATCTGCATCGCACATGGCGAGGAGAACTACAGAGTAGAAATTCTTGTAGTTGTAGAACATTGATGCACCACCGTCTGGATTTATCATTGCTTGCCATCGATAGCTCCGATGCAATTTGGAAAGTTGGTCTTCTGTAGGAACCCGTTTGCAATTTCTTGCCACATATCAGAGGTTTTTGTTGGTATGCATTCCTCGTGTAGTGTTTCCCATATTACCTTACAAACTTCGTTTACGATTAGGCAAATTGTTGCAATTCCAATCCTGAATGAATAATGCAGATCTGTATATGTCGAACCCGTAGCCAAAAATCTGAAAATAATAAATGTTTTTATTGTTTCAGCAAAACTGATTCAACAAAGATGGAAAACAGCTAGAGATGCATATTTTAGAACAAAAAACGCTATGAAAAAACACCTTCTGGAAGTGCTGCACCAAAGTACAAAAAGTATATCTATTTTGATGAACTAAGCTTTCTGACTCAGTCAGATCTGGATGAAGTTGATGAATCTCTGAAAGAAAACAGATCAGCAAATATGGATAATATGGCATTACCGGGGAATACGGTACCTTCTGAAAATACACAAGATTCTGATATGTCAACGCATCAAGCTTCTTCAAATACTCTACAGAAAGACCAGAACGACCATGCTGTTGATTCCGGAACATCACAAAGACCTTGGAGTCAAAAAAGAAAAAATAAGCCACAACAAAAAAACCAAGAAAATTCACCGTTTGAAAGGGATTTGTTAACATTACTGAAAAATCAAACACCATATATTGCCGCTGACGATCTGGCTTTTTTTCTTCTTTGGGTCCAATTTTGAACTCTTTCGATATTGAACAATAACTGGAGTTTCGGTCGAGAGTTTTGCGCAATGCCATGAAGATCAAAAAATTACAATTACCGATCAAACAGCTCGTTATCATCCCACTCGCATGATATAAGATCTCCGCCGCAAAATGATCCGTATGGGTCCTCATCATATAATAATACGACTCCAGGTTACTCAGGATATGAAACCAATGTTGCTACTCCAGGTTACTTTGGGTATCAAACAGCCAGCAGTAATGACTAATAATAATATGAAAAAATGTGTTTTCCTATGAATATTATACTTTATGATAATTTATAGGTATAAATGTTTTTTTCTTACCTTAAAGTCACCATCAGTCTTTCAATCGGTGGTATAGGCACACGTCGTAAACTGGAATGGACCAGTTTATCTTCTGTCTTCGCCAGTAATTCGTCGAAAGTTCTAGTCGACATCCGAAAGTAATTGAAGAATTTTGTTGCATCAGCCCTCAAAGTGACGTATAATGTAACAAATTCTGCTGTGATGCCTCTCTGCTCAATCAATGGATGAATATGAAGTCTTTGTCGCCGGTTAGTCCTTCTTTTCCATACGTAGTACAAAGCAGCAATGATTATTGCTCTCCGCATTTTGCTTCTGCGACTGTACTCCGTGACGATCAGCACGATACTAAAACGTTTCGCGCTGACCCTCGGCGCTGACAAACCACGCGCTGAGCTGTCAGCGCTGACATCAGCTTGACACTAAAACCAGCCTTACCTATTCCAGGCGCTTTTCCATTTTTCCAAGTTTATTCAGTCCTTGTGTTATTTCATCTACTGTTATCTCTTCTTCTGTACCGTCGGTTTCTTCATGTGCTGTATATTTCGTGGTATTATTTGGTTCAGTGTTATTTTGCACATTCAATAGATCATTGAGTTATTCTTTCCATGTAGCGAGCATTTTTTGCCCTCCGTAAGCAAAACTCCGTCTTGAGTCTCCATCCATTATCCCTGCTGTGTTTTGTCTATTTAGAAGCCGCTTCAACAAATTGTAAAATAATTTTTGGTTTCATTGGCTGTTACTCTCAAGCTTAACATATGTCCAGAATCACGCCATACGTACTTTTTACTGTCTTTCACCATATTTTCGGTTTCTTGTGTTTATTATAACGTTCCTCTGCCCGTTTCTTTAAAAAGGTAGCTATTTGCGTTTTTTTAGTCTAATTTGTATTTTTATGCTAGTATTCCGTCAGCCTGTTTGTCTTTCGTTCGAACTCGTTTTGTATTTACCGCAAACTGATTTAACTGACGCTAGCACCATATCTGTAAAAGTAAAATTTTTTTACTCCTATTCGGTTGATCTCCTTTTCTGTCGAGTTAATCGCTGAATTTAAAGTTTCTCTACATTTCACAGCCCTCTGGTTCCCCCAGCTTGTATGCGCGTATATTTTTAACTTCCCTTTCCTCTTCAGTATGCTTCTTGCCAGTTACATATTTTTTCTTTTATTAGCAGAATTCACATTGAAACTGCTGTATGGATAAAGTCTATTCAATGTCAATACTTCCCGGTACAATGCACTTTAAAATTAAGTCATATATCATTTAGCTACATCTAGCTATTATTCAGTTTTCAGTGGATTTGCGGTAACTGATGGCCTTACTATGAAGTAGCCGATGTTTTGCGTTTGAAGATCGATGTGGCCATAAGTGGAATTCCTCTCAATATATCTAATGTTGGCGAACGTAATTCGGTAAGAAATTACTTTGATGTATCTGAAATACTTGCTCAATCTATGACGAAGTGGTGTTTATGGCATGTTCAAAACATAATGATTGTAGAGAAGAATCATCTCTTGCATTTTCGAAAACCTGTGCTTCACAAACGCTGTTAGCTGCGTCATGATTAGCATCTAGACGCGAACAATTATTTTATATTTTTCTCTCTGAATGCATTTCCTTTTTTTGTTGCAAATCACTTTATTTTTGGATGCGTCGCAAGCTTCTAATCTTTTTTTTGGTGAACGCAAACCATGTTATTGTTGTGGAGGCAGATGTGCCTTCATGACACCTCTTCCTGATAAAAGATGACCAGATTATTCATGTACTCCGCCTCAATGACAAAGCTAATAAAGCAACCATTTTTTCATCACGTGCACCATACTGAGGGAATTATGGTTTGGGGCGCCGTTAGATATGGTGCTAAGTCACTTCTGCTTCCCATTACAGAAGGTACCTTGACGCAACGGTATATCCAGGAAATACTAGAACCCCATTTTTGCCTTTTGCCATTTGTTGGACATGACCTGAGGAAAAGTAACTTCTTTACATTATCCTCCACAAACGCTCTCAGCTCTTTGGAACCAAGAAGAAAGAGCTTAGTCAGTATTAATAGTATTTGGCATCATTACTTCCTCTAGCTCATGTTTAACTGTATACAAAGTTTCATTCAAACAAAATCATTTTACTGGGTGCTTTATTATCTTTGCCATTGAGTATAAATGATCCAAGCTATTTTATTAAAAGTGCTCAAAAATTAAAAACAAAATAAAAATAGTCCAAAAAGGCTTTTGAAAGATACATATTTCTAAGACAGACCACGAAATAATTCTTTGACAAATATTTAAGGTACACTCGAAATAATCAAACCGTAATACAAGCCCATCTCTAGAAGGAGATATTTGAGATTTGTATGTTCGATACTATGACTTTAGGTGTCCGACGAATTTACATTGATTGTGGTTTTGTTTTTATTTTATGCACTGCAAATTTAAGGGTTATCCGATTGTCCATTGCCTTGACTGATTCTGGATATCGAGATATTTTCCCATCTTCCAGCGACAGTCATGCAAATTTTGAAATTCACTTCATCGATCCTTTACTGGTGGTACTACCCCTAGTAGTATTTCTCTACGGAAGGAAGTAATAAGTCATGCCTTAAACATCACAAACCGTTTCTGATATCATGTTTTTCCAGTTCCTGATCATTGCACGAGTTCAGAAACTTTCCTAAATAGTCAATATTCTTGAAACAAAAATTTGTTACTACTTTTTTCATGGTTTTAATCGGTGCTCTTTGCATTTGTGTTGAATATAAGGAGATGGTCTAGTTCAATTTGAATGGTGCAAATTTCTCAAGTAAAGATTTATTCTTTCGGTCTCTATATTATTATCGTAGACAAACTCTAGCTATTCGTCTTTGGAAAGATACGTAGCGACTTTTATTTTTGGAACGAACCTTTGTCAAGATTAATGCTTCTTTACTCGGATCTTGGATACATAATCTATTGATCCATGTAGTGTGCAGAAAATAGAGAAATGTTGGATGTTTCAAATGAAATTTATTTGTTTGGTATTTGCGCTCGAACGTTACTGGATAATACATGTTTTTCTCCATTTCGCTTCAATTCCCTTCGTCGATATTTTCTATTTGATGGCGATATTTATCGCGGATGGTCCGACTTACCAGTTTGTGGATCACTTCAATTAATTGCGCTTTTGTCTTCAAGATCTGATGATAAGCGCAATTATAAAATTAGGTAGTATACTAAATTCACCTAATGTGATGCCTCGTTAACGTGTCCGACTTACTGATGGCGACAGATCCGTGTCGTTATTTTTGGCGAGCAAGAATTGTAATCGCGATAAATTTCGAATATGAGATAATATCTTACTTCCTATCACGAAAAATATCTAAATTGGGATATTGTGTTTTTTGGATGTTATATGATATTTACATCATCAAAAACCATGTAACTCATTTTCGTCAGTTGGTCTGTACGCTAATTTTATAACCGTCTAAGAGAAGTACCGCTCGGATTTTGATGAAATTTCCACACAAGAATGAAAGAGCTTTGTAGTTTTTGAAACTCGGTCTACTGACGGCAGAGAAAAAAGCCAAAAACGAAAAAATATAGAAATCTAGTATTCGTTCTTTGACCTTTTGGAGGTTACTGATCATTTTCGGAAAATTTTTTTAGGGATTGAAACTTGGGGGCTGGGGGTTGGATGTGACGACTTTAGTATTAGACAAATACGTTCCATTATTAGGAAGCTTCTGATCCCGGTAATAACGGGAAAATTATATGATAAAGGTCCGATGTATAATGTGCTAATAATTCGAAATATCTTGGCAGTCGTTTACGTTATGTGCACGGCGCGATGATGTATCATCGAGAAGGCCACTGTCGTCTGTGCAGTGGGTAACAAACTCCAACTGGTGTGCGGTTGTATCATCACTAGCACACCGCTACAGAAGAAATATTTATACAGGGCAAACCAAATCTTGTGACGGCTTGAGTCTAATGTGTACGAGAAGCATGATAAGTGTGTATGTTAGAAAGAGATTGAAGTCGGCTGGCCAGCCCAGTTCATCACCACATTTCCAAGCGACGGGGACGCAGAAGATCGTGCAATCTGTCGCGTTGTCAATATGTTACACCAGAAAATGGTCGCACAGGCTCCTACAATAGGTTAGGCTACTGCCAAACCCAAGAAGGAGGTCTGTTCAAACAATTAATTTAATATTTTGTTGTTTAGAATTATTTATTTCAAATTTGATGCGACTTGGTGTTCTAATTTTATCTTAGAATCACCTTTAATTGAGATAAAATCAACACAGCCTGAGTTACCGCAGCGCTGTTGCAAAATGTAAC